CACTTCAGGAGATTTACTCTAACACCCTTTCGGCTGAGTTTGTGCGCGAGTTGTTGATGTGAGGCACTATTGAAGCTACATGAAGGCTACATGAAGCGGATTTTCTCCGTCAAATATCCGGGTCTAACGTTCCAAACAATTAAGAAAATTTGTCACGCAGGACCTGCCTCTACGGAATCCATGCTGCACATCGGATAGTAGGATATGCTACTATAAGAAGCACATAGTCTCTCACATATTTACATTTTCCATAATTTTGTGGTAGATTAAAGTGAGGTTGAATGATCTGTATTAGCTTGCGGAGACCACCTTTGCACATTGGTGTGATTAATGCAGATTTCCAATCGGCGGGCAAACAGCCGGCTCTGAACGAGTTATGGAAAAGCCTAGGATGCAGGTTAGCTAGTTCCTCAGCAAGTTCCTTCAGTAATTTGGGCGGAATATAATTGATACCGAGCAATTTTGACTTATTCAACGCAATTATCACTCTTTGGACCGTCAAATAAGCCATAGTGAGTAGGGATGAATTTGCTTTAAAGCGCAAAGGTCGATTTAAAAATGGTGAAAGATGCTCAACCTTCGCTCCTTTCTCACTAATTTCTAGGTCATTGCTTGTCTTAAGTAGGGGACGGGGTCCCTATTTCGTGTAACGGTTCGTACGTAGCTGTAGAATAAGTTCGGATTTCCAACTGCCTGGTTCAGCAGGTGTTTTTCAAAATCTTGGCGTGTTCTAAAGACAGGTCGCTGGACGAGGTCCCTCTGTACTCTGGCTCTCTCAAATTAAATTGGAAAGAGAAACTAAAGATTTTATGATTTAGTTCCTCCACTGACGTGCCACCGCCGAGAAGCGTAGCTTATTATACTGACATTTAATTGAATTCAATCTTAAAATATATCATATGGCTCTCACTGAAATGTATTTCTAAATATTTGCTTTCTTGGCTCTCTGAGTCAAAAAGGTTCCCGATCTCTGCATTAATGGATAGAAGATCGTTAACAGGGAGAAATTTCCTGCACAACCTCTGTTTTTTTCACTTCTTTCTTCAGCGCTTTATTCAGTCACTGGGGTCTGTTGTTAAGCTTTTCCCATGAAACCGGACAGTGGTTTCTAAGAGGAGTATGAAATAACTTACTAAGCCATTCCAAATTCTCGTCTTTACTGCTTAAAAGCGGAGTCCCAATTAATGTTGTTAAGTTCGGCCTTCATTTGATCGACATCACCACGCCAAATATTTCTTCCAACTCTGATGGGCTGTGCAGGCACCGAAAATCTGGAATAGTTCCAATGAAATATGACGCGATAAGTGATCAAAGAATAAGAGCTGGCAGA